GGCGGAGAGGCTGGGATGGCCGTGCGCCGCCCGGCCTTTCGTTGCTTCCCTTCCCTGGGCTCCCGGAGGGGTTCCGTGAGGCTCTGCTCTGGTAACCTCAGGGCGGGGGCGGGCTGGCGGGGAAGGGTCGGCAAAGCTGCTGGGTGACCTTGCTAGGATCAGGCTCAAGGCCTTAATTATAAATTATAATTTAGTACGAAAGTAATGGAAAAGAAAAGATGAAATATAAGTTTGTTATTGCAGGAAAAATAGAACAAAAACCATTTTCCATTCTGCCTTCCCCAAGGAAATCCATTTCCACTGATGAAAACTGAACCTCTAAGTTGGCCTCTCCGATCTTTTAGGCTATTTCTGTAGCTCTGCCAATTTATTAAAAAGCACTACTCAGGCATGTGTTGTGTAAAGGAACTTTCTCTCCCTAAGAAACAGCTAAGACCTACTCAGCATATGTGACACTCAGGGCCTTAGAGCGCTTGGTTCAGGCGTCATTTCTACATAGCATTTTCTTCCTTGAAACATGGTATCATTTGCTTTTACAACTTCCTGCCCTGTTTGTGTGTGGTGTTGGACTATTGCCAATGTAACCGTGGTCCGCAGTTAGACAGACATGAGCGGAGCAAGGGCGATGGGCCAGGTACAGGAGGGCACCAGCACAGAAAGCCCTGGGTCCCTAGCACTGGACAAGTGTAGGGTGGGACCTTGCCCCAGGGTGACCTTTCCTCCCCAAGCATATCCCTCCCTCCCGGTCATGTGGTTTGGACATCTTGCCTTTTCTCCCTAGATGTTGCATCTAGACCTCAGTTTTATTTCAGCTCCAGGCAGGCCAGAAAACCAGACAAGTGACCCCACAGCTGACCCCAGGACCAGCTGCATTGCATAATGCCCCCTGCCCTGGTGCTGACCAATCAATCAGTTGAGACTTAGACCCTGAAAGAACATACATAGAAAGCTACTATTCTCCTAAGACCTTCCCCTGGAACCTCCACCAAAATCTCCACCTCCCAGGACCATGCCTGTGCCTTTCCCCTCCTCTCTCCCCTACCTGCTAGGTGCTTTACCATTCTTTCCTCACTCCCAAGCTCCAAGCACCCGTCCTTTACCTCTTTAATTTATTTCCAAGCCTATTTCTTTACAAATTACTTCTTCCACCTCTGTAATTTTATAAATAAACTAGAGGCCCGGTGCACAAAAATTTGTGCACTCAGGGGGAAGGGGGGGGGGTGCCTCAGCCTGGCCTGTGCCCTCTCGCAGTCTGGGACCCCTCGGGAGATAACGCCCTGATGGCTTAGGCCTGCTTCCAGGTGGCAGAGGGCAGGCCCAATCCCTAGGTGCAGCCCCTGGTCGGGCTGAGAGCAGGGCTGATTGGGGAGTTGTGGCACCACCTCCTGTCATGCACAGAGCAGGGCGGATCGGGAGGTTGAGATGCCACCCCCAGTCAAGCTCAGGGTAAGGCCGATTGGGGGGTTGGGGCACCACCCCTGTCACACTCAAGGCAGGGTCGATGGGGAGGTTGTGGCGCCATCTCCTGTCACGCACAGATCAGGGCCAATCAGGGGGGT